GAATGATCAATGTGTTCTGGAAAGCCAGGATCCTATTTACAGGATGAAAGTCTTGGAAGGCTCTCTCAGCAGGAACGATATTAATTAAGTGGTGATAACACAGAAAGAAGAAGGAACTGGGATATGCAGGGGGCACAGGAAACATAAAGAACAAATAATCTCTAGGTTTTTTCTTTGCTGGGAACATACTGTACAGAGAGCACAAGCATATAACAACTAAATGAATTGGCTGTTCTGAGTTTTAAAAAAAAACAAACAAAACACTTTTTTTCTTCTCTCTTTCCCAATGGATTCCACTTAGGATTTTGTATTCTTTAATCCTTGAAGATGTTCTACAACACTGCATGAAGGGAGCATAGCTAAGGTTGGTTGGAAGTGATGGGTAAGGTTTTACGGACAGATGCACATGGAATATAAAGAAGTTTTCCTTTTTTAGTCAGAAAACAAATAAGCTCAGTGGGAATATAAGAGTAAGACTTAGGTTTCAGCATTAATTTTTTTTTTCCTATGATACATTTGTATTACTTTTTCCCATCACCCTCTACATCCCAGATGTCCATTTCAGGTACAGCTTAAATCATCTTTCCTCACAGAAGATTATATACAGGTAGCCAATAAATTTCTTCTGAATCCAGCAAGCCTTGGGATTTATCATAAACTGGGAGGGGGGGAGTGTGTTCTCTTAGAGGCATGGTGACAGATAGGTAGCCTACCTCTCCTCTGGCACCTGTACACACTCACCCTTGTAACTTTTGAGCCTACCTCATATATGTGATGGAGAAGGCAATGGCACCCCACCCCAGTACTCTTGCCTGGAAAATCCCATGGACGGAGGGGCCTGGTAGGCTGTGGTCCATGGGGTCGCTGGGAGTCGGACATGACTGAGCGACTTCACTTTTACTTGTCACTTTCATGCGTTGGAGAAGGAAATGGCAACCCACTCCAGTGTTCTTGCCTGGAGAATCCCAGGGACAGGGGAGCCTGGCGGGCTGCCGTCTATGGGGTCACACAGAGTCGGACACGACTGACGCGACTCAGCAGAAGCAGCAGCAGCAGCATATATCTGAGGCCAGGTGTCGAGTTGCTTTGACACAGAGGATGTTTGAGCTAGGATAATACCTGGGAGCCAGATTTCTATGTCTCTCAGTCAGTTAAGATTGCCTAGACTGACCTAAGATGAGATTATAGTTTTTACTGTAACAGACAAATCCAAGGAAAGCTGCTGTAATTTACAGCAGGCTTGCAGAGAAACAGTCAATGAATGATCATCAATTTAAACTGTAAATATGGGCCTGTTTTGTTCGGGAGGCTGATCCCAGTAATGCCCCCTAACAAGCTGCCTGGAAAGCCAGGGCATGAGGCCCACTGCTGGAGACATGTTGATTGAAGAACTGTGCTTGTCCTGACAAGCTGCTAAAAATAGCAAGAAGAACAGGAAGGCAAAACGGGTTCCTGGGAATGTAAGACAGTTACTCTGATGTCAGTTTTATTCCAATTGCTCTCACTGATATGAAGAGGAGAGAGAAGTATCTGGTACAAAAGATGTTAACTTGCTAGACAGCACCCCGGAGACTTAAAAGAATTAATACTACCCTTAAAAGGAGACTGCCTTTTCACTGGAGGATGTAGAAGTCCTAGGAGAATCAGAGCAAACTTGAATGCCTTTGTCCTGCATAATTAATACAGCCTGATATTTCTTTTCTTCTGCTGCTGCTTTTTTTTAAAAAAACATAAACTCTCATTGATTGGGGGAAATATATTCACACTGTAAAATGTTGGGCAGGTACTATCTCTTTGGTTCAAGTATGTCCCTTTGGGGGGGAAAAGTCCATATTTCATGGTGATAAATTCACCTCATAAGTAGAAAAACTGAACACAAATATACTGCTATGTCAACTTTATTGATTTTTGCACCATTGTAAAGACCTTCATCGTCCTCCAATATTTCTTAAATCTATCAGCATCTCAGAAAGTGACCCTGAAAGCCTCATTTATCTGTAGAGGAAAAGATCCCTTCTCTTAGGTTCACCCATAAACATCGTGATTTAAACAGCTCAGGCCTGCCTCTGCTTCTGGAAGGGAATCTGCACTGAGAAAGCTGTTCTCAGAGTCATGGGCAACAGTTTCTTTTTCTCAGGAAAAAGGAATAGCCGGGTTTTAATTTCAGCTAAATGCCCATAGCCAAATGTCTTTTTGAAAGTCCCTCGAGTAACTATAGTTAACTATGCACCTTGATTGACATTGATATGTTGACATCAAAAGGTTTGATAGCAGGGCTCCTTTCTGTATTACGTCTAAGCTTTCCTTCTAGCTTTAGGAGCTACCTTTGGACTTGAGATCTCATTCTGCAAGTCCTGTTCCTGCTAACAATCTTGTCGCTTTCAGGTCACTGCCACGTACTCTGCTGCTACAGAAAAGCCTATGCTGATATTCAGTACTTGACATGTGACTTTTAAAAACCATATTCCTTTCTAATGGCATTAATAAAGCAGAGACTATCCCTAGATCAGAACAATTCTAAGGTCTCTTCTAGATGTAAATTCCTTTATTTTGACTATATCACTTTACAAATGTAAATGACTCACCCAAAGACACCTGCTAGGTGGAAGCAGAGTCAGAGACTTCTTAGTTACAGAAAAAGTCATACTGCATTTACTACTAGAATACAGGATCTCTGAGGGTGGAAAGCTGGCTTATTTCTTTCTATATCTTATGGTGCCTACAATTGGTTGATTGTTAAGTAAAATTTACTAAACATGTGAACTAGAGGAAAAATCAATGGAGATTACAAGAATTGATTCAAAGCCAACAAACACAGATAAATCTCATTATAAAAAATAAAGGATATAAGTTTAGCTCCTCAATTTAGGACTGTATACAACAGATCAAAATTGTTTAGAAGTAATTGTTGATGCTGGACCAGTCATCAGTCAGGAAGGGCAAGATAGGAACGTTCAGGGTAAATCTCTAAATTTGTGAGGCTGACATTATTTAACTGTGCTGCCCAATACTGTGGCCAACAGCCACATGTGGCTATTTACATTCAAATTAACTAAAATGAAATTAAATGCAAAATCTGGCTCCACAGGCACACTAGCCATAATTTAAGTAATAGCCCCAAGTGCATAGAGTCTATAGCACTGGACAGCTTAGAGGAACATTTCTATCATTGCAGAAAGTCTACTAAACACTGATATTTATAGAGGATGGTCACTACTATTTCCAGTAATTATTTGATGGAGGAGGAGAAGAAAGATGAGCAAAGGAGAATAAAGCAAAGAGAAAATATGATAAGGCCTTAGCTATTCTGTGCTAAACACTTGAAGTGCCTTAGTTAATGTAGTCCTTAAAACTTTCCTCCTGAGGTAGGTACTATAATTATCCTTATTTTCAATTTGATGACACTGTGCTAGGAGAGATTAAGTAAATCGCCTTAGTTATATACTTGTTAATTGGCTTAGCTGGGTTTTTACTCAAGCCATCTGACTTCAGAGTCTACGCACAATGGAAAATTATGCCGCTCCAACGGAAAAACTTGAAATGTTTAGAGCAAGAAGAAATATTACACCCTATCTAGGCGGTTCTTAAACCCAGATATATACCAGAAGCACCTGAGGAACTTGCACAAGATATAGTTCCCTGAGCCCTAAGCCAGAGCAACAGGGGTAGGGCAGAGGTTTGCACACCCTACGATGCCCATTGCTCTGAATATACAGCTAGAGTTGAGGATGACTGTACAGATATACTAATCTACCTTCCACAGGCCAGATGATAAAATGTAGTACCTACCTGTTCAAGGTCAATGATAGTACCTATTGACAGATCTGAAATGAGAACATAGGTATCAGGGCTACCAACAGAACAGAACATGGCTTGGGACAAATGAACAACCTTTCTGATAGATAATTTCCTGATAGATATTCTTATCTATTCATATAACTTATATAATACTTAGAAATTACATGTCAGAATTTGATAGCGCAAATTTTTAAAACCAGACAATGAATGTAACACCACTCTCCTCCTAAAACAAATAGGTCTTTCTCATTTAAAAGCAAATATTATTTTCTTCCTAAGAAAATAACATCCCTCTCTAAAGAATAAATAAACCCTATCTTCACGACAGCTCCCTGATGTATCAGATGGTAAAGAATCTGCCTGCAAAGCTGGAGACCCTGGGTCGGGAAGATCCCCTGGAGAAGGGAATGGCTACCCACTCCTGTATTCTTGCCTGGAGAATTCCTAGGACAGAGGACTGTCCATGGGGTTGCTAAGAGCTGGACATGACTGAGCAATAACACTTTCACTTTTCACTGAAGAATAAATAACTTCTCATCATGACGGCAGTATAATGCAGTGGAAACAGGATGATCGCCAAACAAGAAAGCTGGATTCTTGTCCCAACTGTGCCTATAACTCTGTGACGGAGGCAAGTGATTTCCTTTCTTTGAACTCTAGTTTCCTCATCTGTAAAATTAGTATGTGGTATATGATGATCTTCAGGGTTCCTTCCAGCATTGCCTCCAAGAAGACATTGGGGTGCAATCTGAATAAACTTTAGAAACAAAACTTCCAACCTGCTTAGGACAATGCATTCACTTCAATTCTAGTCAATCTATTTATTCCATGTCAAGGGAATAGAGGTGGACATTGCATGAAAATCCTATCTTTTCTTTTGTTTTGTCAAGCTTCATTCTGATTCCTGCCACTGATTGGTCAGAGCTCTTCTAAGAGTCTGGAACATCCACACAGCAGGACATTCCCTATAGCTGCCTTTTGGAAATGATAATGATATATCTGCCTCTCTCTCTCCTACATTCACAGCTGCTGATCTGAAAATTATGATGTGTCAGACATTTTGCCACCTTAACATCCATCAACTCATCTTTATATCTCTTAAAGCTTAACTGTAATGGATTTTTAGGTGGTTTAGAGAGGTGAGGCGGCCAAGACAGAAGTCACATCATGAATAAACAGCATGCTGAATACACACTTCTTACCTTACGCTTGTTGGTAGGACACACGTAGAGATAGCTTAAAATCGTTTTCAACCCAACTTTATCATTCAGCTTCTCATAGGTTGTCCCATAATCGGTTGACCTATAATTCAAAAGGAGCATTAATGAGGACAAAAGTATACGTCATTTGCCTGCTTGTCAGTGTAATGCATGTTTTACATAGTAGAATGGTTCTCCAGAGGTTTCTAAATGATTCATGTAGTATATAATGATGCTTAATTATGTACACAGTAGCATATCATGTGAGTGGTTAACATTTGCATTTAAATTGAATTGGTAAAAATTAAAACTCCATCTCTCACTGCTCCTTAAGTTACGTGCATTGCATAGAGAATGTGTTTAATTTTCAAAGATTAAGAATGAGGGTGTCCCTTGAATCAAGACTAAGAATAAAGACCTTTTCCTTAGATATGACATTTCCAAACTTCTGCTTTATCTTTGGCACAGTGGAAAAGTAGGTTCTCTTGATTTATCTACAAATTGTGTTTTCTTTCATGAGTCATAGAATATAAGGTGGGCTAGTCCCTCCAAAGGTCATTCAGTCTCCTCTTATTATTTAAGAATAAGAAGATGTCTTAATAGGAAGGGAAATTTCACAGTTCTACTCGGTGGCCTTTGACTCTGTCTTTTTTGGAGATTCTCTCATCTTTTCTTGACATTGGTCAATGACTTATTAATTTAGACTGAATAAACAGACCTTAATCACCTTCTCTATAATTCTGTTATATATTTCAGCATTGTACATCTTATTAGATCATTATTGCAACCAAGTTCAGTAGGAAATATTATCTGTATTTGAAGAAAGTGGTTGAATGAACATGAATGATCTTTTCAAAGTCAGTTAGAGTTTGACTCTAGGTAGTCTGACTCTAAGCTCTGTGTTAAATTATACCACAGCTTTGTTTTCTTTTTTTTAATTTAAACAGAACAAATATAAAATCTGTCAGCTTTCTTTACACATATAGGAGATTCCCAAAGAAAATACAATTCATCCATTCACATTTGTAGAGCCTCTAAAATGAACCAGGCTCTGTGCTATGTTCCAGGATACAGCCCCTACTTTCAAGAATCCAATAGCTTTGAAAGGCAGAAAAAGAAAGTGGCAATGTGTTATATGTAACGAAAGAGATGAAAATTAACAAGACTCGGAAAATAAACTTGATTTAATCAGAAAAATCACAAAAATGCAATTATTCAAACTTATTTATGATATGATAGAAGTTTCATATTTCCATACACCATAAAGATGAAATAGAAGAGTTGTCTGTTATCAACCTCAATGTCATACATTAAAAGCCTACTCTGGATCAGGCACCAGAGCTAGAAAGCTATAAAACATATTAGCTAGGAATTAAGAATTTACTATGGCTAGAGATACAGGGAGCTCTTTACCAAAAAATGTTTATATAAGATAGATAAATATAGATGATATTAGACTATAATACATAATATTATATACACAAATTATAAGCAAGTAAATATAGATAATACTTTATAGAATTTAGATTACACTCCAAATCACTGAAGATTGAGGTATTATGAAAAGTTTTTCAGAAGGACTATGGATCTTGAAAATGGAAAATGGGTAGGGTTTTAGAAAAGCAATGTAGAGTTGATACTTGAATAATAAGGGAGTTGGGGTGCCAACAATTCCTGTAGTCAAAAATCAGCATACAACTTGTCACTGGCCCCCTATATACACAGTTTCTCAACATCTACATCCAAGGATTCAACCACAGATAGTAGCGTCTACAGTATTTACTACTAAAGAAAAAAAATATGTATAAGTGGATATACAAAGAGTTCAAATCTGTGTTGCTCAGGGGTCAGCTATAGTCAGAGTATCAAAAATTAGAATTCACCTTATGTAATTACAATATATAACTAGATTTCCTCAGGACCAGTCTGGACTTTAGCCCAATCGAACAAATGCTTGCTTAATAACCAAGAATATTTGAAGAATATTCCTAATCTCTTCACAGAAGAGCTTATCTATTAACCACGACAAACTTCTTTAAATTCTCCTTCCGTATTTTTTTTTTCTCATCAGACTCATCTGGACATGAAAATTCCTCCTACTTTCTAAGAAATATCTGAGGCTTATTTCCTTACTCAGTCTAATCCTGGTGTTTAACCAGTTTTTCCCACTCTTACCATGGTTTTACTGAGTCAGCTTTCTCTTCTTACTGAGACTTGCTTATCTCCAAAATTTAACTAGTCTTTCTCTAGCTCCTTTTATTGGATAACTTTTTCTATTTGTATTCTGAATGATACAAGTTCAAGAACAAAAAACATAGACGCAAAATCTATGGAGGGGTGATGGGAAGAAGATTAAATGTACAAATACTTCCACATTTTATAAATTTTGTGGTAGGCAGAAATGGATAGAACTCTGTTGGGGATGAGAGAACAGTTCATGTTTTTCTAGTGGGATAAAAGAAAGGAGAAGCAGGGATCAGTTTATAAAAGCATGAAAATTAGTTTCCCATAATTTCTATCAACTCAATCCCTGAGCTACTCAAAGAATAGTTTTACATTCAAAACACAAACTACAACTGCAAGGGCAAACTGTGTGTGTGTGTGTGTGTGTGTGTGTGTGTATGCGCGTGCGTGTGCACATTTAACTGAAATTCGAGTGTGAAAGGTGATAATGGAGTGACTAACTCAGATTTACATGAGTGACTTCTTTTTCGGATAAGTGACAATGTTTCTGGAAACTTCTCTCGTATTATAACATCAGTAGCCCAGACACTTCAGGTATCTGCCATTACTTTTTGTGCCATTTTTGCCCCTTGATTTTTCAAAGCTCAAAAAGTGAATCAAAATTTGTTAATTCTCAATTCAAGCCAAATTCAATGTTTAAACATTGTGGTATTATAGTAACTAATACAAAGAGGGAAAAAAAAAAAAAAACTGATTCATTTCCATATACCCCAAATGTCACAGACAAGCAATTGTCTGCGGCTGTCCCACAGAACCAGAATTACATAGAGTGTTGACAAGTTTCATGGGTAAAACAACCAACCAGCTGGGATACACTGGTATAGGGATACAGGAGTGAAGACACTCGATGATTGCGAACCAGTTGGCAAATAGTTTACTGCACCACATTCTCTGACAGGCCACTTCTACCAGCTTCATCACCAGGGCCTCTCCTTGGAAAATGCCCAGATCTCCTTACAGTCTCAGCAACCGAAAGATTGAGGGCTGAAACAGCAGAGTGTCACTGTGTGACCCAAGACACTTGCTCCAGCACCTGTTCTGAATGCCACTGCCTGTGACAGTCAGCCTGAGCCCCAGCGGAGGAGAGAGTGACCTTGGAGGAGGTACTGCACCCTGGAACGCAATTCCTAGGGTCCATCTGCAAACCCAAACTCCCCTTCACAGCCAACAGATGCTTCCAGTCATGCCTGCACAGTCAGATGTGGGAAATTCAGTCTCCTAGGGACATGGCTCGGAAAGAACAGAGAAGAGACAGACAGCTGAGCAGCAGGCTGGCTGTTGAGCCAGCGCACTAGCTGTTAAATATTTTAAGTGTCATCTCTAGATACACGGGAGAGGAGTATTATCCGAGATCAAAAAATGTTAGGAAACACTTGATTAGGCAAAATTTAACGTTTCTTAACTTCAGAACTTAGAATTTTTATTATTCTTACATACATACATAAATTTTATTATTCTAATATACACTGTGAACCTCTTACATGCATATTTCATGAAGCATATTCAAAACATATTTGATTATAGGATCCATTCGTGAGAGATATCTAATGAGATTAGTCTTCTGAACAATATACTGTGGGAAACAATATGAAAGACCAGAAAAAAAAAAAAACAAGCCAAAGAAAGATTATGGCTCTTGGTTTCATAAGAAAAGGAGAACAATAAAAATATTTAAAACAAATCAAATTTGCCAAGAGAAATGCCAGTTATGCTAACTATAAAGTGACTGCTGCTGTGAAGGCAAAAAGGAAGCAATCTTAAAAAAAGCACCATACACAGACATATTTAAGATGCAACCTTGAAACCTCCAATTGTATCATTTTCTAAAACATTCCAAAAAGCAAGCATTTTTTCAGGTTGTGTTTATAAGTTGGCTTACAGATTAAAAACATAGCTTCTGTCAACACCTATTCTGTGCTGGAAGATACTGAAAGCTTAAAAAATAAGTGCCTCAGGAAAATAAATAGCAAATGATTAAATCAAGGACTGCAGACTCGTGTGTTTGATCCTTAATCTTTACCCTTTTCTACAAATACATCTTAAATAGTGACTTTTAGAACATTCGAAAGCATGTCTTTATTTAAGTATTTACTATATGCCTAGAGCTGAGAAGAGCTTCTCTGAGGGGTGGAGAAACCACATTCAAGGCATGGTCCCTGCCTTCCAAGAACTTATGATCTCTTTGAGATGACAGTCTCCAAGGGATGAACACGGCACTGCTAGTTTCCACGAGGAGTGGCAGAAATAAAATGTGTGATTGGATTTCCTCTACCATAATCTTATATCATCAAATGAGATAATAAATAAGCACAGAATCATTTGTAAACTAAATTAATCCATAAAAAGTGCTGAGCACAATGGCTGGTATGTAATAAACCATCTACAAATTATAGCTTTTGTTACTCATTTTATCACTCATTCTTCTTCTTGATGATTTTTAGTATTCTTTGGTCGACATTCACTAAAACCCATCATGTGAATCCTCAAGGAAAATCTCAATCACTGAAAATGAGTTAGAGTTAGTTTGCTTAGAAGATAAGACTATCTCGTGAAGCTATTACTATTTTAAAATGTAATCACATTTAGCCTATTATATTTTGAAGAATAAATGTTAGTAGTTTTGTGCGGAACTTGGATGAGAGAGGTAAGGGTAAGAACTTGATAAAAGATTCTGCACTCTGCTTCTATAACAACTGTGTCAGGATTCCACTGCTGAATAGACTATTACATTTAAGAATCCTATTAGATATTATAAATGTACATTTATTGGGTGCTTACAATGTGAGCTAAACTCTTCAGCTCCTTCAGAATCCTATGAGAGGGACATTGGTATTAGTCATATGCTATAGATAAGGAAGG